GGCGAGAGGAGAGGCGAGAGGAGAGGCGAGAGGAGAGGCGAGAGGAGGAGAGGAGAGGAGAGGAGAGGAGAGGAGAGGAGAGGAGAGGAGAGAGGAGAGGAGAGGAGAGGGAGATGGAAATAGCCGCGGCTGTCCCAAATAATACCTTCTATTTGTTTTGCCCGGGCTTGTGGGCCATCTTCTATTTGAACCGGTCGGGTGTTCAAAACCGGGCACGCTTTCAAATAGACGATTTTCACAACTAATATCTTCTATCTTAGGCGTCCGGATTATAATGATTGCTTTCACCTTGTCATGCAAGACTGCCGACGGACTTGTTGCTCTAAGGAGCAAATTCGACGAGATGTGTATGAAGACCATCCCAAGGCCATCTGGATCCCCATAAATGAGTCAGGTATTCTCCCCGCCAAGGCTTTCTTTTCACTCACGCGCCTTCGACACGCGCAAGTAGAAGCTGGCTTTCACACCATCGACCAGCAAGCGTGGCGTCACTGTCACTCCCTGACAATTGTCAACTTACCAAGCTCGGTGGTTGCAGTCGAATATGCTGCGTTCCAAGGGTGTTATGCTCTAACAGCAGTTGCAATGCCAGGTTGCTTGTCCCTCGGGGAAGACCATGTCGGCGATAGCTCTTGTTTGAGGGAGGCCTATCTGTTCGAGTTTTGCGCAGCCCTCAAAGGCATATGGTGAAACAACAGCCCCACAAGCCAGGCGGCAAGGGTGTTCTGTGAGGATCCCTACTTTTTCGAGGGCGCAACATTCTGCAAAAAGCCTGGCCCTCCCTCCAGTGGGCATACCAATTGGGCGCTTCCATTCGTCGGGAGTCCAACTTGTCAGCCTGCCCCAAGGAACGTCCTTCATCGGGCATGAAGCTTTTGCGCGCTGTAAACATCTTTTTTTGCACGGGTGGAGGCGCTGTGTGTGCCGAGAGGCACAAGTCACCTTGATTGAATTAAATAGGGTTGCCGAGGAGATACGAGCCAGGAACAAGAACAAGGCCCAAAGCAGCACCACAAACAAAACCCAAACACACAAACCGAACAAGTCAGGCTCGTATCTCGTCAGGCAGGTGAAACGGGGCACTGAATTCATATTTCTGTCTGTGCTCAGTTCATGAGGATCAGGAGGTGGCGAACTTCCTTTCGCGGGCAGTGAGTGCCTGTATGACGATTTCGGCGCTGACCTGTCTGCATTAAGAGTCTTCAAACGTGTGCTGGAGTAAGGAACATTGTAAGCAGAATCGTAGTGCCAAGGCGAATCATGACTTATATCCAAGAGCACGACTTTCTTCAGGCGGATTCAGCTTGTTCCAAACGAGCATTGTCAATCTGGCGCACGACGGCATCGGCATGCAACAGCTTGCTTCCTTCAAGCTTCGGATGCATGATACGCAGCACACCTGGCGAGACAGGGGTTTTCAACTCACTGTGTTCAAAATCCCAAGGAGACGGAGAGATTGCGCGAGATTGCGAAGAGCACAGTTGGTAGAGCACGGTTAACTCTGCACTAAAGGCTTGTAGTGGGCGAGTGATACTCAGAAGAGTCGGTTGTCAAACTTACGAAAGTCATGACCTGCAGAGGACATCGGATGGGATGGACCGAGACAAGCGGTCCCCCCTCCTAGGCCCCCCCCCCAAAGGGGAAGGCGGTGACAAGAGTGCACTCCTTGACAGTAGCTCCAAAATGACGAGCGGGAGCAGTAAGGACGAAGCGACGTGACCTTGCGTTGCCCTCAAGGAACATTGACAGGCAGGACCCTGTTGACAAGTCTCGACAAGCTCAGCATCTCCGTCTTGCAGTTCGAGTGCTCTAGAATCCGTAAAACATGCAAGCCCCTTGAACTACGTGAAACAGTGAAACTCCGCTATTCCTAGTTGGCAAAACTGTACATCTGTACGCTTCCAAGACCACCTCTTGGGAGGCAGCCCTGGGTACTGTCTAGCTACTCAGTATCGGCAGCAGTGTCGGCATGTCAGTTGGCAGGTGCGTGGCTTGCTCAGAACCTGCATGCGGACGCAGGTCTGAGTGGTCAAGCGTCTCTGCAGTTTGATTCGGCGCAGCTTCTCATGAAATCAGCCCACTCTTCATGGCCGTCAGTTGGCTTGGGGAGGAGCCGGATCCATTTTGGGAGTGCAAGTTGCGCGCACAACTCGAATGCATCGTGTTCTGCGTAAGTACCTCTCCAAGTCGTTTTTCTTCCCACTCTGATGAGCGTGCGCAGCTGTGTACAGCCAGCAAATGCTCGTTTGTCGATATAGAGCAACGTGGGTGGGGTGTGTAGTTCGCCCAAGGAGGTGCAATTTAGGAGGGCACCTCGCCCAATGCGCCTCACAGCTTTGGCCAGTTGGAGCTGCTGCAGCTGCGAGCAATGTGCAAAGGCGCCCCCCAGAATCTCACTGATTTCAGTTTGCGAGATGTCAACTACCCGCAACCTTTTACAATGCTCACATGCCGCTGGACCCATCCAGTTGAAATCTGCTGGTAAAAATAACGACTCTATCCCTGCCTCGAAAAAGCAACCCTCGGGTATGGAACGATACAAATTGGTGGGATCGTACTCAGTTCTCTCAAAATTGAGTTGCTGCAAGGTGCTGCATTTTTCGAAGGCTCGCGGACGGAATCGCGCCTGTGGCGCCAGCTGATTGACTGTCGCGCTTTGATCCCCAATCTGTGCTAAAGCGTAGCATTCTTCGAATACCCAGAGCCCAAAGTATTTGCACCCGGGGGCTATGACGGTGTGGAGTACATAGTTCCGGCGGAAGGCTCCATCTTGCAGGCAGACTACAGTACTTGGCAGTTGAACAATTAGCAGCCTGTTGCAGTGCTGCCAGGCCGCTTCGCCAATGGTATGTATTCCTGCCTCTACTTGCACATGCCCCACATCAACCGTATGCGTGAAAGCATGGGGTAGCGCCCGACCCGTGCGAATGGGCGGTACTCGAATTGCTTTAGCACTCCTCTTCAGTTGCCCTTTGTGTTCGGCTTGACTGAAACCTTGTCGGACCACAAGGTTGAAGCGGTTACAGTCTCTGAGAGTGTCCCAGATTGGGTTCGCCAGGATTTCTCCAGTGTCTCCCAAAGGTGCTGTGTCCTCCAATGGTCGGGAGCTGCTCAAGGACAGCAGTTTCAAACTCGTCTAACCGATCAAACTCTTGGAGATCGATGACGATTTGTATTTCTTCTCCAGAAAGGGTTGTCAGCAGGAGTTGCAACACTAACTGGCGTTCATTGCTGACTAGCGAGCTCGTTTGTGACCAGGTATCACCAACCATTGCGGCAACCTGCGAAGCTCCTACTTAAGATTTGAGCCTCGTCAGGGGTATTCACACTTGAGCCATCCTACCATAAACGGGGGAGCAGAGGGAACAGACTCCTACACAGTACCCATTCCCCGCCTGGCAATGCTGAGGGACAACTACTTGGGTAGCCGCCCTAGCTCTCACTGGCGTTTCACCCCCAGATAGTCGTTGCTGAGATTGTTTAGGTCAATTGCAGGGGGCAATCCAGTCGCTCTCCCTCGGCATGATGTAGTGGAGCCACTTTGGGGTGGCTAGCTTGACACATTCCTCAAAGGCATTGACGGCGGCATAAGGATATCGCCATGCCTCTAATTTATTCCTAGTGTAACCCAGGTGAGACAGCTCGGCACAGTTGCCCTATACCCTATATATCGAATGCTGCCTGGGAGCGTGAGGTTCACCAGGGCTTTCCCAATAGACTGAGAACGTCTATTTTCAAAAATAGACGTTTAACTTTTAACTTTTAACGTATTTTACGATAAAAATTATCGAAATTTCGATAATTTTTTAACGTATTTTCCAAAATACGATAATTTTTTCGTCTATTTTTACGTTAAAAAATTCGTCTATTTTTATCGAAATTTCGTTAATTTTTTCGACTATTTTTTAACGTATTCGTCTATTTTTAACGTCGAAAACTTCTAGCAAACTTCTAGTAAACTTCTACTTGCAAAACTGCAAAACTTCTAGTTTCCATGTCATGTTTTTGTGCGTTTTCTTGGTACCCTTTTGTGAGTTTCTATTTGTCTAATAATAGGGGAAGAAGGAGAACAAGAAGGAGAAACGACGCAACATCTCTCAACAAGTTTCCCTCAACACCACTCCAAAGAGGAAGAACTGAAGAACATGCTGCCTTGAAGAAAGTCATGTAGAAGAAGACTTGTTTCTGTTTGGCGCGTTGTTGTTTGATGCTTTGATTTGTCATAGCTAACAAACACAAGTGGCACGTGATGAATGCTGAGT